TACCTTCTACAGACTATTGATTCATATTGTGTTTCATATGAGTCATGCCTGTCAATCTCGTCATAACACTAGTTTTTAGCAACCAGTTGTTTTTCTCTCATACGCCTCAGCCGTGCAGTAGCAGTTCCAACAAGGAATGTACGTCATTGCTGAAAACACCTTCAGAGGCTAAGGAAACAGGGATTTCTGTGGATCAACAGTTCAGGCCTTCTACCCCAAGAGAACAAATATTGAGATCGTCAAACAATAACAACCGCGCAGCTTTAAGTTCTCCCAATTAGGTTAGAAGGGTATCCGTTATTGAACAGGGTTACTTTGGCTACGACTCACTATTTAGTAATGTTTCATTTCATTATCATTATGTGAGGAGCGGTTACCTAGAACTACGTTCAAGTGATGTACTTTGGAGCGTTGCAATATCAGGAAATGATAATGCTACTGCAACCCCTCAGTCTCCTCAGCATGTACTGGCAGATTGGTTTTTCAGCTTTATTGGTATACTTCATATTTTTGAGTGTTTCGAGCGTATTTGTGTAGCCTTGAACTACATGAACGCCTCTTCTACTGTTGGTTATAGCCGTTGTGACGTTTTTAGCCCTGAAACGAGTTTCCCATAATCACCTTCCATCAATGAAGACCAGCGTGTCGTACGATCTACTCCACATCCCATTATAGGAATGAACGGTTAATCTCCCTTATCTTAAGCGCTTACGCCTACTCCTAGGACAGTACACGTGAGGTTCAGTCAACTCTTTAGCGAATTTCAGTGGCTGCAAACTGTGCGCCTTATATGTAACCTTTCAAGGCATGTCACAAATTCAGAAATAGACTGGGGAACCGTTATTCACTGGTCTATCCAACTGAACTGATGATCAGATCGTGTGCTCCTTCTCTTATCTAACGCTTGGAAAGGATTCGCTGTTTTCTTCATCCCGTGATATGATGAAGGGATAGGCTGGTCACGCAGAAGGGAAACTGCAAGAAGAAATAATTTGGTGTGTAGGAATATTGCTATTATCTATACTATTGTTTGGCATAAACCCACGACAGTCTGTGGGGTGACCCCATAGCCCGCGTCTTAAAGACTAAGTGGTATCAATCGACTCTGAACTAAATTTGGCTTGCCAGCAATGCGGAAACGCAGACAGTCCGAAAATCATTCACTTTATGACACTTAATTTCTGGGTGTGATAAGTTTGAAATAATGTGCACAGGGAGATTTTGCGGCCAGCATACACGTACGTATTTGTTGGCTCTGTGATTTGGGTGTGATTTGTGAATGTTTTGGTTCACTAGTCCTCCATGTATTATAAAATACAACTGCTCAGCTTTCACCATTTTCGTTCAACAATCATTGTTCGTCGACTCGGCGGTTCTCTTTTCATAATTTGGTCTATTCCGTTAGGTTTACATGAAACAATGTGCAATCAAACAGGGCAGAACTCACGCACCGTGAGCAATCCACTGGCAAAGTCCTATTCCGGAAACGGACACTAACACACTTTATTTCACGTAATTTGGAGGACAGGGATTAAGTTGTTTCTTTTTGCCTAATGCTTATGTTGATTAGCATCAACTAAAATTTGTACGTTCTCATAAACTAGCCGAGGGAACATCTCATACAGGTGCAGCTCGCAATCCGGAAAATCCGGTGGTTAACGGACCAACCCGCACATTGAGGCCAGGCTATTTTTTTCTACAGATAAATGTTGCTGTATAGCCGTCCTGATTGGCTAAAGGAGGTCCTGTAAAACCTAATCAGCACAGCTTGTTTGTTTACATGCGCACCGAACTAGATGAGAGTGGAGGCACATTTGTGCGATGTTTGTTTGAATTTTCTATGATTTCACCCCACTAGGAATAATCTCACATGTGTGATAGGACGTTATCGTGCCCGTGGAAGGCAGTGCGTCCGTCGTCGCTTCACGGCTTGACTCCTCTGCTTGGAACACAAAATGAGATCACTTTTCCTTCGAGCAAATCATTAGTGTGTGTGTGCGTGCGTGAAACGGAAGCACCATACTAGCAGTGATGAGTGCTTCTAATGGTTTCTGGTAGTAAGTCATAGTCCCTCCAGCGAAGAGACTAATGTTTTGTGTGCTCATGTGTGCCATACTGGGTGGTTCCACGTTGATACTCCAGGTGGATTGACTTTTGACAAATACAGTCTCCCGTTCTTCCAGGTTGGAACATGCTACCGCTGTGGTAGTTTACCGGCACCCATCCGCTGCCTCGCTGTTTAGCTTTTTTGGGTGCTATATTTGGGTGCCATAATTATCCACCTGTCTAGATAGTGGCCTCTCTGACAGTATCCCAGCCTTCATATAACCATGAACTTCACAACTAAAAATACTCACGTGTAATATCGGCCGTCGCATGGTGCCATCAGCCCAGTTGCTTAAACTGTCGCATATATCAGGACGCCATGGGTTAAATAATGGAACGAATGCTGGAGAACCCTCGAGTTCAAATCGCTGCCGGTGTGAATCTTGTGGGTATGAGAACGCAGACAATATTGTCCTAATATTTTAAAATATAAGTGCAGCACAAACACTAGTGGAAAAAAATTGGTCTCCATAATACCAACCTAGCTGTGCAATGGCAGAGTGCAACCTAAGTTTTCAGAACACGGGATCTATGAACATAGCCTTTATAATCCAAGAGAAGACTTCACATACCTCGATAGTTGTATTAGCTCTAACCGCAGTGTGTGACGAAGTCAGTGAATGAGTCTCAAAATCAGTGAGTCTCTCAGAATCATGTTTGCCACCTTGCGTCACTTGTCGCGACCGAAAGCGTGTCACTGGGTCTCAAAGGTCACGTGTCACGCTGTATCGAACCGTGTGCGAACCATGACCTAAAACGTCTTCCGGTTTTTGTCCGCCGATGTCTTCGAGGTGTTGCTGATACTACAGGGTGTCGGCGAATTCGTAACCAAGTAACTGGAAAATGAGCAGAAAACTGCGATGCTCAGGTATGCGCCATGCGTGCTGTATCGTCGTCTGCCTGTTCTCCTCCAGAATAGCGTAAAGTGCAAGGTGGACAACACATGACTGGGCAGATGAGCTTGAAAGAGATATTGAACGTTCGTGGTGCGGTTGATGTGGTCCAACTTTAAGAGTGGAGTCCCGTTTAGCCTTCCTGTACTTGGCCGGAGGCCTTGCAAGAAATACTGTTTAAATGGCGCCGATAGCCTTCTTGTCACTTTCCAAATTTACTAGTTGTTTCAAGGCACGGGTACTTCAAATGACCTCCGTAGACTAAGTACCAAGTCTCTCATTCTGTTTTTTATGTTAAGACCCTAAGTATAACTGAACAAACCGCATGTTTTATGGAGCGAACATCAACACGGACGTTGCTGTCTCTGATGAAGATAGCGATAGGTTGGTGCTGCTGCTGGTGCAATTTTTCGCCGCCGCTTCCTGTAGATCGTCTTGGGACTTCGAGTCAAGCATCGTTTCAGAAACCTGGTTTAATCGTACTACCATCCTGTTTGGATCTCTCCCTTTGCCTCGATTAATGACACGGATTACTGTGTGGTTCAGTTTAGATTGTATTACAGCTTTGTTTTGGGCTTAGCGCATTTAAACGCTGTGCTTGTTGAACTTCGGACCACCATGTATTCAGTTTTGTTTAGTCCACTTCTGTTCAGAGAGCTTTTGCCTACATGGCGTCATGACAACTGCAATTAGCCAATGGCAATATTGCGTTGCCGTGTGAATTTCTCTGGGGAACGAGGTACAACGTGGGCACGAAAGACTATATGGTCTGAGGCGGCACGTGTTCCAGAAAGAGGAAGCCCTGAATATAAGCTCATCAGTGAAACTCAGTTGCTATGACGTTGATCTGGCTGCGACAAACATGTTGTAGTAAGCAGAAATTTCGTTTGTTACAAGAACAACCCGAAATTTATCATTGCGTCTCGTCTATTTGGTGGGTGAGGGTGGCGCGTAAAAGGAGCTTAAATAGTATTTTTGTTGTTGAGTGAGAGTGATAGCCTTTGGCGTTGTAGTTTGCGTAGGAATTTTTTCGAGCACAAAGGGACTTCGAGGGCAGCCTCCCTTGACTGCCTTATGGCTTTTTACCTGTGTGCAGACATGCAATACGCAACCTTAAATGTGCGTGGAGCGCTTTTATGACCTGTTTCTAGTCAAACCACCCCAGAAACGCTATTCCTGAGTGCCTTTTGCATGTCTTATGGGTTCAAGCCTTGATGTCTAATTCTATATGGCGGCGTAGGGTCATTCAATCGCTTGACTCACGCGGCAATCGTAAATGGTCATCTTTTTTAGACCGAATTTCGCCTAAGTGAAAAAGCCGCAGGTGAAATGGAATAAATGCTTTGTCACATTTGTGTTCGCATGGTCTGATGAGACCTCACTGAAATTACTTTTTGGTGAATGAATGGTTTAACTTGGGAATAGCAAGACAGTTTCATTCCCATGGTGTGGGTTAACGGCTAGCAACCGAGAATCCCGGTAATAAACCCAAGATTAAAACTTACTAACGAAAGCAGCCAACCTCTGGCCGCTAACCAGGGCTATTTTAAAGCTTTGTCATTTGGTAATTGTAGGTGTGAGGTGGTCATCAGCCTAGGCAACACGGTGATTTCAGCTGGCTTCTTTTACCTCATCAAAGGATAGAGCTCCATCAAGGTGAATTGATTGTAGGAGAGGTTCAAGTTTTAACCGGTCTTCGTTCCTTTTTTGTATTCTTTTAGTCATCGTACCCATAGTTATCTTCTCTCTCCGGTCGATAGCAGCTTTACATATACGCTTTGATTTTACCAGTGGTTGGTTATTCCTGGAAGCAAATCAAGAAAGTACTGGTTATACTTCCAACGGACTTCGCATATGGAGACATATTTTACTGCTTAATGCCTTACATCATCAGAAAGGATACCTGCTCTGATGTTGAAATGGCAAGTCTTTAATTGTCTCTTGTTAGTCTTATAACGCCATTCACCCTACCGTTCATTCGGTGTCTGCTTACAACTGTAGATCGGATACTATCTGGATGAGTCAGATCATTGGAGTTTGAACGTGGACCAACTGGAGGAGCTGGTGGAAAAGGCTCGTGGTGAATGTGTACCGCGTGTGCTGGTTGTGATCAATCCAGGTAATCCAACTGGTCAACTTCTGTCTAAGGATGTGATCAGAAATGTCCTAGAGTTTGCACACCGTCACAGTTTGGTCGTATTGGCGGACGAGGTATATCAGCACAACGTATACTCACCTGATCGTTCCTTTGTCTCATTCAAACGGGTTCTTCATGATATGGGAAGTTCAATATCCAAGGAACTTCAGCTGGCATCATTTATGTCATGCAGCAAGGGTTTTATGGGAGAGTGAGTTCTTCTATTCCACCGGTGTTCATATTAGGGACAATGTGTTGAAGGCTGATGATGAATTAACCTACTTTAAAAGAAACAAAAGTAGGAGCAGTAAAATTTGCAAAAAAAGTTGTTCCGAAGAATCCAGAACAAGCCGGCGTACCCTAGCTCATCAACTTTTGACCATATGATTTGCTGTTGTGAGCGGCCGATGACTCTACGTAAAATTTTTATGCAATCGATAGAACAAATTAAATGAGAGTGTCGGATTCAATCAGGCCAAAACCAACAGGGAAGTGTCGGAAAGCCGTTATGGCCTCTTTGGAATAATTTCTGTCCTTAATAGGGCTAGGTGAACTTAAAGGACAACGCCGTGTCCTATGGATCACAATCGGGCGTACCATTTCTCCCCTTACGCATATAGGCCCTCATGAGTGCTGACTGTGTCTTTGAACCGGAACAAAGTGGAAGTTCGTGCCTGACAGACGGAATAACTCTGGGCACATTTGCACGGGATCAGTTTTCTATGGACATTTTTATTCCCATCTGCCTGGTAGGTTGAGAATATGGACAGAATTCATGCTTATTTTTTTGTTCACTGATAAAGAGCAAGATATGTGCGGTACAGATGCAAGTGGGCACTCGTAAGCACTCAGAACGCCATCAGCGAAACAGCCGATTATCTTTCCTAGTTTGGTCATGCATACAGTCCATTAGACCGATGGTTTAACAAATTTATATGGCGTCAATACCTAGGTGGATACGCAGGCATCCAAGCGAAACAGGCCGGACGGTGGAAACTGCGACGAAACAGATTTGGTCCATAGTTAAACCGGCAACAGATGATTGTGAAATTTCGGAAGCCATTTCCTCATCGACATACATCGTTTCTAGCTACGAACAGAAAAACCCAACACTCAACAGCACAGGATAAGAAGGTTTNGATTCTGGTGTGAAGTTCCCTGGCCGTCTGTCCTATGTAGGTAGTCGTCACAATAATTTTGTGGACACAGTCCCTGGTTCTGTTTGTCGGAAGGCAGTACTTCAATTTTTGAGAACTCTAACACGGCTAACATAAGGGTAGCTTTCCAGAGGGGAAAACACTGCGCTCTGTATTGGTACAATTGATGGACTGTTCAAGGTTTTCTTAGGCTAATTCTGATCAGAAAGCCAAATCAGGCTTATATAAATAGAATCAACTTCTTGCTTCGTCTGAATTGCGTTAGGTAAGGTGGAAACTATGCCAAAAGGTATATTCTCTTTTATCAATCTTCAATTAAGTTTCCAGTACAAAATGTGCATACGTCCGCCTTGCATTGACGGCCATCTGCTGGTCATCCTCCAGAAAGAGGTTTGCTGTATAAACGTGAAGTCTATGTGGGGCTAACTTGTAGTCCAGTAAGTTGCGTGCACATTTTGCAAGTTGCGACCTCGGCTCCCTTCTGTACACACTTATCTTCCATTATTTGTAATTCGGGTCCCTAATCAGGCTTCTTCGTGTTCATACCGGTTCTCCATCACTTTAGGCACACTTGAGACACCTTTCCCTTTCTCGATGTTCAAATACCAAGACGACCGACCGAACCATGTACATGTCAAGCAATTGGAAAAAGTTTGGAACTGACTGAAAAGTCATCATTTCAGAATGGCTTGGCAAATAATCGGTAGTTTTTAATTGGACAACGTTTGCCTTTTGACACAAAAGCTTCATCAGACCAAGTGAGCGGGTAACCAAGTTGGCCAGGTTTTACAGCAAATGGAGAACCAATCAATAAGATGTCTTCCTATTAGCGCACTAGATCAGTGTTGAGTGTCATTTAATAGCTATTCTCGGTTAGTGTGGTTGGCAAAATTTCGCGTTGATGGGCTGTGGGAGTTTCCAGTTATTTCCGATTGGGTTTGGTTCCTTAATCTTCCACTTCAGGTTGCTCCATCTAATGATTCACGGGTGCCACTGGTGGATTTTCGTCGGTCTTCGTGGGCTTGTGATGGTTGCAACAAGTTAGTTAGGGGTGAGGTTAAGTGGAATTCAGATGCTGACTACTCCTGGTAACCGCACACCAACACGTGTAATCTCGACTGATCCAAAACCGTTCTCCAAACGCTCGCCAGGTTCACGCCTTCTATTCTGTTGACACTGGGATGCTTGGTGATCTCTACCGCCTCGGCTGTCAGTCTCTGTGACTTGGACCATTGTCCTGGTCTCAGAACTCCAACATTTTCCAAATCTATTTCGTGCCATGTGTCCAGTGCATGTTCCGCAATTGCACAGTCTTTCAGTAACGCTCGATACATTTATTTGCGTTTCTCGGCTGCCTGTTTACTTTCCTCCTATGTTCTTCGATTCTGGTGTGAAGTTCCCTGGCCGTCTGTCCTATGTAGGTAGTCGTCACAATAATTTTGTGGACACAGTCCCTGGTTCTGTTTGTCGGAAGGCAGTACTTCAATTTTTGAGAACTCTAACACGGCTAACATAAGGGTAGCTTTCCAGAGGGGTGAGAACTCTACACGGCTAACATAAGGGTAGCTTTCCAGAGGGGAAAACACTGCGCTCTGTATTGGTACAATTGATGGACTGTTCAAGGTTTTCTTAGGCTAATTCTGATCAGAAAGCCAAATCAGGCTTATATAAATAGAATCAACTTCTTGCTTCGTCTGAATTGCGTTAGGTAAGGTGGAAACTATGCCAAAAGGTATATTCTCTTTTATCAATCTTCAATTAAGTTTCCAGTACAAAATGACCGCAGGACAGAAAAATTCACATTTTAGTCTAAAATCCATGGGCTGACCAAGCCTTAGGCTATACTCGTCCATTTGCACGAACGAGAAGAGTGTGAAGCCATTAGTGACACATCGGGTCTCGCATGCTAGACGGGCGACACGTCCAGCAATTTTCGCCGTATGTGATAATTCGGTGCCAAACTTCCCGCTCCTAAACACCCGTGATGGTCAGAGATGAAAGCCCATAGCATCGGCAACTAATCGGCGTATCTGTCGTTTGCCAGCTTTGGTTGGTGTTACGGTTTCCTTGAGAAATCTCTAATGCAACTGTGTTGTCTCCTTTACCTGACACCACTGCGGCTTTCACTCATCCTTCTACCGGCTGGGCGTGATACCAATGAGTCCACTGGAAGAGATTTTACATTAACTCACTGACTTTACTCAGTGGTAGATGATCTCATTCTAAAGAACAGTTATTGATATAATTATGTGCACATTCACCCAACCCAGTGTCTCAGTAACTACTGCCCTTATGTTTCCAGTGTGAGTAAATTGACGCACCCAAACATACTTTCCAGTTTTCATTTGGTTGGATGATCTCCGCACATGAAAGTCGTAAGAATAAATTTACTTACTCCATACCATTCTCAAATGTCTGTAATGAACACTGATGATCATGACTGGTCACAAGGATTTCCGATTATTGTTTTCATTTCGTTTTCAGGTGTGGACTCCGTGGTGGCTACTGCGAACTAGTCAACTTCAGTCCAGACGTCCAGGCACAGCTGTACAAGTGTCTTTCAGCTCGGCTTTGTTCCCCCTTGCTTGGTCAGGTAATTAAGTAGTCTTGATTGCTAAAGTCGTGTAATTATGTGTACGCCGTCCGTGTCACGGTGAGGTATGGTGAACACACTCCAGGCTATATTCTGTGCGTTCGTTTAGAGTGATTTATCCCTTATGCAACGGCTCCTTGGAGCATACTCCAGATGGTCTAAACGGAAGTCAAGGTTTATCACTGCGAAGGTTATTCGGATGCAAAGGCAAAATTCATCTATGTCTTTTCCGGGTGTCCGTGATAGGGAGAGGTGCACAACTGTTCTTATAATTGCATTGAGTGGACCAGGTCTGGTGGAGGGTAAATTACACGCTGTGTCTGACCGAGCGCCATTAAACATGCCGTGCTTATGTGTGGCATTCCAGTCGAGCTGTCAACACAGAGTCTCTCACAGGCGTTCATTCATATAACTTTGGGTTTCGTTACCTTAACTTCTTATTGGAAGACTCCAGTTGGTTATCATATTTCTCAGCATGTAGCGTGGAGTTTTGGGAAAACTGTTTGGTGAAAATAGCGGTCAAAACATCAACATCCCGAGATGTCCTTAATAAGTTCGCTCCCTGTGTTTAGCATTGTCTATTACCGACTAAAGGTGTTGACTTACAGTGCATTGCCAGAACTCTAACGGTTCACCTTTGAAAGAAAATATGACATTCTGCGCATCCAGCTAAGGTCAAGTGAGATTTAAAAGTCTGCTTTGCTCTAATTGTCTCTTGACTGACTGGTCATTGACTATTTTAGCTGGAAATCTCACATATGGCTTGACATTTTACATGTTGTTGGCTTGAAATTTTATTGAAAAGTTACGGTGAATTCGTGGCCAGTTCCCACCCACCTGGTAGGTGTAGGTGGGATCGTTCAAATAAACATTCGTATAGCAGTTATAAGCCTCGAATCTAAAGAATATGCGCCCGCCGATTGGTCTTGAGTAGCTGGCAAGCACACCCAGCGCACACTCCACTGATTTTTTTTAATCCATATAGATAACTGCTTCTACTACCACTGTAAGCTCAGCGCAGTGGTATATCATACAGGAGTCACAATTTATACATACTCTTATGATTTGCAATGTCGAACTGGGGTGTGTCTTGACCTGGTCTTTCTATCATCCTCAGAATGCCTCAGAGGGTATTCGAAACCACTATGACGCTTGGCGATAGATGGTACGTGGGTCTATATCAAATGAGTTCAACATAGTCAGTAAATCAGCTACGGCAGCACCATCCAGTTCTGTCGTCCAGCTTTTGAAGCTTGCATACTTCAACGAAGTTTTCGCTCGAACATTCTGTCGATTGTTCAAGTTCCACAGCATCGAATTCTGCACTTGATCGTCCTAGTTCATGTGCTACTTATTAATACACAAGGTATCCACCCGTATGCGAAAATAATTCAGCTATTACTTCGTTGTCAGCTCTTCTTTTTGAGCCCTTATTAGATGACTGAGTAGGCCACTACTCTGCATAGTCTGTAACGCGTCTGTAATTTGAATTTTCAGAAAATTTCCCTACTTCTGGTAACACAGGACTGTGGACCGTACAAACACTTAGAGTTGCATTGGTGATGTGAATAAAGTAGCGAAACTTCCCACTTGCACTCGCCCTTGCAGTCTGTTCGATGCAAGGGGTTTCAGATGTTGCTTATTGAATAACTCTTCGGTTCATGCAAAATTATCCACAAACAAGAGAACTGGGCTTTGGTAGGGCAAAGCATAACCAGTATCAAGGCCTTATATACCGAATGGATGTCAGTCAAATCGACATACGGAACCACAGAGCAGCGTAGTTCTTTTGTGTGAAAGCTTGAAAAGAATAAGATAAGAGCACGCTCATTCTCTACACTCATGTTGAACTCAAAAAAATTGAATTCGATGCGCAGCTCTTCCACTTAGTCTCGACTTCAAGACAGATTTGGAATGGGGGTTTGGCTGGCAGCCATAACAGGAACTGCCTAGCTATCCTGGATTGACCGAATCAGAGACATTTGGTAGTTTTGTGAATATAGTGTGCATAGCCTGTGGATGTTCATGGGTCTTCTTGAAGTCGTCTTACAACAGTTATCCACCTGACTGTGGTGTGACCCAGGGTCTTAGTTTCAGTGGCTTTAGTAACCAGGCCATTGAGTAAGTTCTATTACAACCACTTGTTCGCGGTTGGTTTTAGTCTTCATCAAAGGCTCCTTTGTATGTTCGTGCAGTGACAATATCATGGTATCTTTAAATAGCATTGAGACTCGTGCTCTTACTGGTTATGGCCGATTAATCGTGTTCAGCTTGCTGACAACATATGCGCCTCAGTTGTTTGACTTCTTAGTCGTTGGTGGGCTTAATGAGTTACAGAAAACCGATAGTGCGTTTCAGTTTTCGTTAATTTTTGGCTATTGGGGAACCGAACGAGTAGCATACACAGATGCTAACATTTGGCGAAACACACCCACTTGCAAATTAAGTTGGTTTTCGGAGAGGACTCAACTGAATCCCCGCCGAATCTCTCATGCAGCGCAAAGGCTTTCTCGTATTTCAGTTGGTACAATATTCGAGGTACCGCAGTGTAGTTTCTTGAGGACGCAAACACCACTGCTGCTGCTGAGTTCATCTCTAGCAGAACACCTCCAGTTAGTTAATAGACAGACCGACTGACGAACTGACAATCGAATCAAAAGCGTGTAAACTCTAACGACGTATCACGAATAAGTTATCCAACAACTTAGAGCATTGTATCAAGCATACTAATTTTCCCGTTAATTTCGTGTATGACCTCGAGTTTCTGGAACATCAATACGCATTCGACTATTAAATAAACAGATTTTCAAAAAGCTCTCCGTTACTGTTGTACACAAAAAAATATTCACTGCGAGTTTGCTCTCCTACAGCTGGCAGTGGATGTCATTGTCAATCCTCCTGAAGTCGGTGAACCATCGTATGAATCCTTTCAAAAGGAGAAAGAGTCGGTACTCAGTGACTTGAAACTTAAAGCCCAACTAGTATCGGAGTCGCTGAACTCTCTGCCCGGGTTCTCTTGTAACCCTGTAACTGGAGCTATGTATGCCTTTCCACAGCTGAAGTTACCACCAAAAGCAATTGAGGCGGCAAAAGTAAGTTTTTCTGTGTTAATTCTCCTAATTTGGAATGGTCTGTTTCCACAGAAGTGGCTTAGTATAGCTATTTGATTCATCTTTGTTACCTTCAGCCTCTGAGAAAACGCTTATCCGCTGTCCTGGTATCATAGAGTAATACGGGATCCAGTGTATATCGTGTATTAAGTATCTATATTTTACTACCATATGGTATGTATGCGAGTAGTTGATCTTGAAATGTCATGCAACTCTTTGTCTGAGGAGACGTTGCAAAAAAGGAGTCTGTACGCTGAGCATTTTATTGGGATCACTTTGGTACTTGGATTCAGCATACGGAACAGTGGTCCTCTACTACCACGATTGGACATCGTTACGTGCTTTGGATGTGTTCACACATCGATTCATTCAGAGTTTTTCACGTTTCTGAAGCCTGAATGGTCATGTGGAATACTTCGAAGTTGGCAGTGTTTTCTTTCCCAATTTTTTTCTGCTTGGGTGCGAAGAGGCCGGGGATACGGACGAATCGATTGCAAGTCCTGCCGTTTATTGGTAGATTTTTCCTTTAAAAGTAAAAAACTTGTGTTCAGTGAAAGTTTTACTATCTTATAGCATTTTCTCAACAACTACCGGTCTCGTTGTGTCATCTTCCAGAAGTCTACGCTGGACATTAGTTATCTGACACTGAAACATTAACATTGAGGAAAACCGTGCCAAAACTCCATGAGACTTTGTTTGCACAGCTACGTGTGTCTGTAAATTGCTCGTTTCATGCATATCCCCGATTGCTTCCAGCACGTTTATGCAATGTTTAGAAGGCCGGATACTTACAACCACTGAAACCCCACCAGGATTCTGACGATCCTGGTATGTTGACGGCACTCTGGTCATCAGCAAACCGGGCATTGAGGATTTCCTCACAAATACTAATAATAGCGCGCGCAAATCGAATTTGCATGTGAAAAAAGATAAAGGGATGTCTTTCTTGGTACATTGAACAAACGGTAAAAACCAGACACAGCTACCCATCTGGAGAGAACCCGGTCGAGCAGATATTTTCATTTCAACTTTAAACATGTCAGGAAGTTGCTCGCCCCTTTTGGTTATAAGCTTTAGTATAGAGTTTTGTTGAGTAGATTGGGGGTGTTTCTACAGGTTAATGGCCACACACAACGAGTCCTAGATAGATGCAATTGATCGACCCCATTGGTGCGGAAACAAAGCAGTGGCTTCAGGTGGTAGTGTTACTCATCTTGGGACGCTAAACTGGTTCCAAACCACTCGGTCAACACGCAAGGAGCGAACTTAATCCGTTTGAAGGATACGCAATAACTGACGGAGCAGGCCACAATGCAGAAATCAGAATGGGTGTTGTATCGGTCATACAGCTGAACATCTAATACTAAGGGTGAAAGCGCATGAAATCCATCACGAGAGATAATCCAGGGTTGCTAGATATCTCAGAGCGTAATTTGGAAATTGCTGTTCACACACTGGCTGATCACCAAGTGAATTTCAAGCAGTCTACATTACCGAGGCACGGGTTTTGCAATCAAAAAGGACGCCTCACGAAACTCCATTAATCAGTCACACACCAAAGAGAGCAAACAAGTCAGATGGCGCAGACATGTCACTTACCCAGCGGAGCTTACTTGTATGAGATATCACACGGTATTCCTTCTACCGTTCTTATCTTCCCCATATGCGCCTAATACTGAACACTGGCATACGAAACCCAGCTTTATCACTCACACATGTCCACGATTCGGCAAAAAGAGACCAACCCCAAGCCGCTCTGACCAGTCTCATAAAGAACTACATCCACTCCCTCTATCTTCCTTACTTCGTCTTTCCTAGATCACTCACGTTTTCGTCTATGACTAGCACATTGTAAACAGGATGCCATTCGCTTGTTAAAAGTCCGCCAGGAGGGTTGAAACTTGACTCCTGGTTTATTTAAGCTATTCGATAATCTCTTCTTGCATCGCTTCGTAGAAATATATGTGGAAATATTCAGAGTATTTACGAATGACAGCGTGATCGGGGCTCACCACTCCAACGACCGTTGATACATGATAGAATAAACAAGGACATGATAACAAGAGGGTGAGGTGAACAACTCAGTCCGGTAGTTCTGGCCTCTCAGCAACCGAGACAGCGAGACAGAATGTAAATAGTGCGCCAAATTGCATACTGTTGTATCGTGAAGCACTACCATTTCAATAACTAAATGGTCGTGTAAAACAGCCCTGAAAGGCATACTCTTTTGCTCACTTTAGAAGGATTGTGAGTTAAGTGACCGCGACAAAACCACCAAATGGTTACTGAAGTTGTGCATTTTAAACTTATTTTATTCTTCTCTATCCTCTTTGCCGCTCAACCGAAAAACCTCAAAGTTTTGCACGAATTCTTCCTTGGTGAGAGGAAAATTTGAAACTTTAAATGTCTCAATACTTATACCTTCTAGCGGTGTGGAAATAAAACTAATCAAGCCAGAGTCTACATAATTCGCGTGCTATCCAGTCAGTAAAGTCAGCTTAAAAACTTTACGATCCGTGAACCCTGTCAGAAGGGTAAAAGTGGTGAACCATCGAGCTACTCACAAGTAGACAAACGTTCTACTCATTATTGGTTCGAATGGTCTTCCTCTTACCTTAATGTGGTAATCTTGATCAATCCGCAAAAGGGGAAAGGGTTCAGTTATATTTCACTCCCTATTAGAGCTCATCAACAGTGCATTTCCTTGGCAGTGTCCAGACTTTAACTCCGGGCCGTTGTACTAACCCAAATTACCGCGTCAAAAACTCAAAATCCATTCACATTTCGAGCGATGCGATTGGTTTTACTGATACCTTGAATAACAACTGGGCATTAGCCCTCAGGAACAGACTTAGTTTCACTATTGTTCAGAACAAACATCAATCGTTGGAACTATACTTCCTGTCGTTTGTCCCCTGCACCATAGCCCCTCAGGCTGAATACGATAGGGAAAGCCGGTTGCCAGTTTATGCTCTCGCTTATTAGACATCAATTTTCTTGCCATCACGCGCAAGAGATTAGCTGTAATTTCTGAGCGAAACCGGAGATACTCTCCATTAATCCTCTTAAGCTGAAAAGCAGGAGCGCAATAGCTTCGGATTCAACTTGAAAAAAGCATCAAACTGGACTCTGTTCCTCTTGCGCACCCAGAAATAATAAGCTCTTCTAACTCCATAAGCAGTAGTCCCTCTTCAGGCGAATTGTTGTCTTTTTGGTGGTGTACGTTCTCTAGGATGTTCCTGTAATAAAGCGAAAATATTTCGGCCGAATAAATTCAATCTCACCTTGGAAGGATATTGTCTGAAAGTGCACCGTACACCTTTTTGGGTTCATCATGATCTCAGCTTACTAAAAGCGCTTTGGAGACCGGCTCGACTTTCAACCTTACCAACCTCCACATAGCAGTTACTCCTACGAAGACGCGAAGCTATGGAGATTTCACTTGAAATTATTCTGGTCGTGTGTACATAGAAATGGAAATCATTCCAGCTAGACTCTAGCACTTCTTCCGGTTTAGTTACATAGTGTACTAGTACACTGTTACGTATTATGTCATATTATATCACATTGTATTATTGCATATTATACTATATTGTGTTATATTGTTTTATACTATACTGTGTTACGTTATTTTATATTACATTATTGTACTATGTTGTCGTTGGTTTGTTCGCTGAGTTGTTCAATTCGATCACATTATGCCATTCCACACTATATCACACATTGTTACCATATTCATATCACAAAATGGACATTTTTAAGCCAACAGTCCCTGTTCCCAAAGTTACATCCAGACTTTCGGTTGTGGAATGAATTTCCCTTCCTACCCATTAAAACTCGTACATAGGGTTGAACATCCACAAACAACTAACCAATTAGTAATGGAGGGTGATGGGTAGTCAATCTGTTCTTTGTATTTTTGTTGGGCATGCTTTTAATGCTCAATTGCGGAGCATGTACCGTTCATTGAAGAGTTGTTTCTATGTGATCCGGATCTGCTTCAGGGTTTCCATAGTCTTTAAATCGCAATTGAATAACTTTTCAGCAGATATCAATGTAATTTTAAATATAATAACACCAAGTTCATTGCAAGTGAATTGGAAAAGAGTGAGTGTGGAGTACAATGCAATCAACGTAAATTAAGAAATGACGACATCAGATGGAGACTGCTTTGCAATAACCTCAGCCGCAGCCAAGTATACATGCGCTTTGTTCCTTCCACTAGTCAGTCATCAAGGAGTGAACCGGTTAACTCTGGTTAATCAGTGTAAATTAGTTATCTCCTGAATAAAGCCATCTATAGTTGTTGAGGCGTTGAGCAAAATAATTCCACCCCTGAAGGTTCATTAGCCCTTCAACTATTTACCCAACGTCAGCGTCAGTTATGTCATCCAACATATATTCGACAAAATAATCCATCTTAAGTGCATATTTCTTGCGCACAATCACAAGCATTTGGAACGGAGGCCAGTTTTATGGGTTGTGGAATTTTCACCCTAAACCATGCCTGACAGAGAACGTTCTCCGGCATAGTGGTCTTTTTGGGGCCATATTGGGGCAGTGAATTATTGATAGGACTTCATGATATGAACTTGGGTTGTCGAGCTTTACTGCTCACGTAGTACATGCAAGTTGAGGAGGTGATGACCTCATGCGTAAGTTCGTGCGGGAGAGGTAGCCAACAAGCTGAAAAGTTCGAAAAACACTGCATTAAATCGTGCTCTTTTTGGGCTTAATTTTAAAATTCATTGTGTGCCTAATCTTCTCCTTTCCCAGGATAAAGGAGTGGCTCCAGACTTCTTCTATTGCATGAACTTTCTGGATGAATATGGTATCTGTGTTATTCCGGGGTCCGGTTTTGGACAAGTCCCTGGCACATGGCATTTCAGGTAAGTCATAAACATGACGGTTGAGATTTCATTGCGGGAGTTCTCAAGTTAGAGCAACAGTACAGAATGCACAGTAACGCCTCGTCTACTCCGCAAAATATATGGTATGCCCTTCATCCAACACAAGCGGGATGCTTGCAGGCTCATTCTGAGTAGATTTGCACCATTGCACGCAGTTCTTCTGGGCGATCTGTTCGTGAACCCAGAAGTGAGCTGAATCCTTTGAATTTAAAATAAGTACACTTTAACTAGTTCCATGTACCATGAATCGGGCAACTTCTGAGGATCTGGTATTTTTTGACGGTTCACCAACTGGGCAGTCATATCCGGCTAAGGACTTCTTTTCATGGTCCTACCTAAAAATACCAGCGGAAACCGGAGATATTGTTAGGCTTTGCCCTTGAAGATCAAAGCAAAGTGATGAGATTCAAACAAACTTTCATCTCCTTACCGATTCCATGAGCAGAGAGCTGTGTCCGCTTTGCAGAGGTTTGTCTCAGTCGCATAGCATTACCCCCAGAAGTCCAGCAGATTCATGTAAGAATTTTCGTTTGGCCCATCGTGAGATACTTATTCACCTACACCCACTCTTCAAGCAGAGCAATCTCTTAGCGGCCTCCTAACACTGATTTGGCGAGATGTCTAGCTGACCGGTTCTTCCTCAACCTTGAAAATCGACGCACTTTGTGACCTAGTCACCTGGCCCTGTGTCAATAGTGATTGTTAATTAGGCCTTCTGGAACGACTGTTTCTCGATCGGTTGCACAGCAGCAGTCTGTCTCCCTCCGGTATGCTTGCTTTCGAATGCCCGTTGATATGGTTTGAAGATGATTTCCATTTGGGACTTGCGTCCCCGGCATATTTGGTTCGTTGAAGTTATCAGTGCTAAGCGTTCGGTAACAGATAGCGTTCTGAGAGGTTGGTGTAGCTACCAGTGCTGAACAGATCGCTGGCGCGTGTTTGCTCGAGCTGTGGTTGGGGCACTGTGATTGACAAGCGTTGTGGACAGTCAAGTAGCCGCCCAACTTACATCTGTGGTTACGTCCTCAAGCTGTAGGGTATAATTGACTCAGTTTTTCTTACTGGAGACATTGCGAGGTGCTCCGGATATTAGATTGCCTATTCAGCAGTAGATAATTTCTCTTCTGGCGCACACAGTACGCACACACTGCGGAAAATTGGCTTAACCTCAGACGGGAGTAAATAACGAATGACATGAGAATGGAGCCCAGAATCGCAACCCCAGGGTGAGTTCTTTCGGGTACTATATAATTCATGAATAGCTACTTGGAAGTTATCGAGCCGGAAGAAATTAATTCCTGGTTCAATCAGCTGTAAAACGGTTGGAAGTCATCGTCGTATTCTTTGATGCAGAGAAAACACGAAACCTATTCATCACATGAACGATCTGCATTAAGGGTTTAGAGTTTTCACAAAACATACGTGTTGTGCGTCCTGTCATGAAAAGCTCAAAATATTGGTTGACACTTTTCTCCCAAACTGCTGGTTTAAGATTTGCCCGTAGAAGCCCACAACAAGCTGCTCCGCCACTTTGACTGCTTTTACTAAGACGTCTTGGTTGTCTGTTCTCCGTCAGTCTTAAAACAACCAAAGTTCTTAGTCATTCACCAGCTTACCAGACACGCCCGTTTGGTCTGCCTTTTCATCTCTCACTAGCAGTCAGCACCTTGTCGAAAGGCCTGTTTGTTTCACCCTACACACATCGATCTTAATGCTCAATTGTCAGTTTGGTTGTGTTTCTCAATGTCAACTCGGTTGCAGACCAAGAGAACACAGCCAGCTGTCGATGGGCCTTAGGTGCAGGCGAGAACGCATGCTCAGTGATAGTGTCACTAAATTCTTCACAGCCACATGGGTGCGCAAATAAAGCAGTTTGACACACACGAGCAAAATACTGTCAAATTGTCTAGTCTCACGGATTCGCTAGGTAGTTGAAATGAAATGAAAAGTCAATGATGCCCGAAAAAAACTGGAACTTTGCCATGGTATCGTAGTTTGTCGAAAGCGATAAGGCCAGACTGACGAGCCTTGTAGAGTAGTACTTGGTAGTCGCTATTCACACATGAAATGGAATATGGTATTCGCAATTTACGGAACCAAAATGGGCTGTTGTGTGTAGTCGATTTGTACCGTAACCTTCATAGACCTCACGAATTGGCATGCTTCATCATTCGTCCTTCAGTTCTCGATTAGATGACCTTAATCTCAATCCTATTGTGGAAGTTTACAGGACTAAGTTGTGCCTCTCTGTGACAAGCTTTTTACGGCGAAAGTGAAAACAGTACAAAAGAGGCGATGTATCACCCAGGGCGTACCTTGAACCCTCAATAAAGACAACGTGGAAATGATGCATCTTGGAATGACACTGAGTGTGCTTGACAGCAAAGTTTTGGTTTCCTTCAATTTGCAAAAAATAATCTTGCCTGTTCGAGACAACACAAATGGTATCCTCTCAGGTGGACTGTTACTTTGCCCTAGTCGGTTGTTGGTCTGTCAAAATGACTCCCGAAGTGACTGCAATAGCACTCATGTTATTATTCACATTATTCACGACGTCTGTTTGAAATATTCTGTAGACCTAATCTACCACTCAGTAGACTGACATCATAAACGAGATATTCAGCTGGGCTCCAGGTGATTCTCCCGTGAAAATCAAATTGATATGCAAAGGAGTGTACTTGTTGAGATAATCTCGTTAAAATATCTCCCAGTTACCACTCTGGAAACAGCTGAAAACTAGTTAGAACAGATAGCGCAGGACATCTTTCCGCACTATATTTTCTCTTCCACAATTGCGGTGTTGCACGAGTGGTAATAGCCGATTCAATCAAAAAGTTGGTTGCCTCAGCGACTACTCGCGCCGATGATGAACAAAATACCGGAGACAAGGTTTATCAATTGATACAAGGAACGCACGAAAGAAATTTAAGAGCATGATATACCAAAGCGAAAGGATCCCATAGATTCTTAAAGACATGTAAATTCAAATGCTATTTCTGAAAGCCCTATTACTATGGAAATCTTATTGTACGGTCCGGTTGAATGATATACATAAGGATCCTGAACTTTCCACAAGATAATATATTTGTGGCGAAATTCCGGTATAAGTCCGTCTGATTGGATTCGCACATCGATAACCAGGTTACCTGAAGAGTATGAATTTTCAAAATGTTGACTGAAATTCAGTTACACTGCTTGTTCTTATGAATTTCCAAAAAATTCTCCGCAAAGCAGGAAAACAGTCTTACACGGCAGAATGCACACCACTGTTCGGGTCTTAGAGGTATCATCCTCAGTAAAACAGATAGTCTCATTTATTCACCTCTAAGCCATCCCAACAGTTTGTATGTGATTAATGGTCTCATAATAACCTTGGAACTGAGTCCATCCCAAGAAAAGTAGGATGGTGAGGTAGAATTCGAAGCTTTAGAAACTAAAGCCAACCTGAGCCTATTCGTATTTTTGATGAACAACCACACTTCAAATACTTTAGAATAGGGGCACTTGGATGTGGTACTTGGTTGTTATTCTTCACTTATAACTAATCACTTTCGGTTCCAACATCCATTAATTACGCTCACGTGTTTCACCGTCATCTGATCCACATAGTTCGGTGAATCGGTTTCGCCGGGACAATCGATAACCTATATGGCCTATTACGTTCCCGGTAATTTTGACCTATTGTTCGAAATTTTACCCCCCACAAAACATCGGCGCCGATTATACCCCTATTGAAGCTGAGTACCTGTAGCACCTCGATGAGCATACCTTGGAGTAGTGACTTGGTGACTTGACAAATTCGTTTGGAAAATCAACTACTGTATGCAGTCAAGTAGTCAACGGTGATGAATGTGTTGCATGAATGGGTCGAAAGCTGTCGCGGCTCGCATAGGCCGTGGAAATAAGCGTGATGAATGGGATTGGGAAACCCAGGGGGGGGGGTGCATAATGCAAAACCATAACTCACTCATTATAACAAAGAACCCAGTGAGACCAACTCATTTTTCATAGTTGCATACCAATAAGCATGTCAGTTTAATGCAGTACTCAATAGGTCACCGATGCGATACAGGTGTTTCGCGTAATGATTAGTTATTACTGTTGAAGATGAGTACCCAGTAATCCCTCTGTCCGAATAAAGACTACTCAAGGAGAGTGGTCCAGGTGGTCTCAGTTATGGGGGTTTGTGGAGTTTCTTATGGAAGCGAAACCACTTCCAAACTTTAAAAGGAAATTTGGGTCAATCGCTAGCACACGCTTTCTCATAGATATTCCAGCCCCTACGCACATTAAAAGCTAGCCTCCGTAGCGTAGCGAACAAAACTGCGGTCGGTCTCATTTATAGTATATCTTCTGGTGGTTTGAGACAGTTGTCCTTTTTTTCCTTCAGAGGTTTTGATGGTATGCACCACCACTGGAAATCCCCTATGGACAACTATCCTGAGCTGCTAACACAGCCCCGTGGACGACGTCAAATTTGGCTCATTATGGTCAGAACGATGTTCGAAGTTTTCATGGTGTGTATCTTCATCATATGAAGGTCCTCCACCATATCAGACAGCAGCATACTTAGTAGGCTTGTTTAAGCAGACTAAAATCAGTTCTCGGAACTGATAGCTCTTTTCACAGAATGGTGTTTCATATCCCTAAGAGTCACTTCGCTCAGATGTTCGCTAAATGCACGGATGCAGCTTACATCCACGGCACCATTTTGATTTCATGTGAACTAAAACCTGTTTAGATAATTCGAACACTGACGTTTCTTCGATCGGTATCATTCCACCTTGTTACACCCGAAATGTGTTTTTTAATAAGTTCAATCAATACAGTGTCCAGTTACATTACCTTTTTGGAAACCGGGGTTTCCAACGATGAGCTGTGTAACGTGTGGAGACATTCGGTAATTCAGGTTATCCACTCGTTTCCCGGCGTCCGAAATTCGCATGCGTGACACTGTATTTTGTGAAAAAAAGAATAACTCTACTTGTTGTTCACCAGTAGTTGCGGTCTTCCGGTTCAATTTTTGGAATCCACTGTTCGAAAACGGTACTGGGCATCCAAGCTTTATTATTAGCATCTTATTTAGTGGCATCTCTTCTATCTGTGCGTCTCAAAAAGATCTGGCTTCTACTGATCACCGCAGACAAGTTTTTTTCATTCGTTGCTCTGCAACACAAAAGTGTCGTCATATTTTCTTTTGGGAACTATCCACGGGGACAGCTGTCGCTGTCAGATTAGGGTTCGGGAGTGTCTTTCCAACCAAATCTGCATCATATGTATTGAAGATTGCATAAGATGAACAGGATATCGTGAATGTTGGGCGGGCGTTCCAACCTATGAGAGCTGTTGCAAGAACTCTATTGGCTTGAAAACTATGAAAACTCTTTGACAGACCATGACCGGTTTCGCCCCTCTTGGGGCTCACCAGGTAGGCGCAGTCCCTGAGTTTCAGTCAACCTAATGTTCTGCTTGAACCCAAATTGGACTGATTGCGGCAAATACACTCATTTGCAAATCAATTTGGTTATCGTGAGTGACCCACGTTAATCTCTCCAATATCGTACCAATTGAAACATGAGGTGGACTGTGTGCAGCACATTCAGTTGAAGAACATCATAAACGATGGATTCACTTGTATCTCCCATGAACACCGGATTAATTTGCAAATGACTGTATTTGTCGTAACTTTATTGGCCTGTTCTCAAAGTGGGAGGTCAAATATAGTGGTGCTTTCAAAGTTCGAACAGTCACACACCACTACTGCTGAAATCCCCTTACCTTCTGCCCACCTCTGTAGCTTCTCCGTTAGCTACTGATCGGATATTGACAATTTATCCGCTCAGTTGTTGGCCACGCCAAAGGCTTACTGATATCCGTGGATCAGTTTTGATCACCGTTTCTTTCATTTTACGGCCCGATGGTGCTCGATGAACTTTTAGCCTTTGGGTCAAACTGACGTCACTGACCTGAGGATTGTGTCGAGTTTAACTATATGTGTTACCTGTCTCGGTGTGTGGAATGAGCATTTACTTATACTTACCATGGATCCCAAGGTTCATATGTGACGCAGCTGCTGAAATTCCGCAGCTTCACCCATGCGACAGGCGCCAGAACTGCATTTAGGTTAGAATATCGGAAGTACATCTGATGAGCACAGATCTGGCGTTAACGTCAAACGCACCGTGAAACAAGTCCACACGAGACACTGACTACGTGCATCTTCAGTGGTAGCAATGTTTCGGCGGGTTCTGGTTCTTCAGTACTTGGATGGAACGGCCTGTGCCTGTCTATTGTTAACGGACTTGTGCTGCTATCGAAACACACTCATTTTTCAACAGGCATTTTAAGTAGCATTTTTAAATTATATTTTTTCCAGTTTATGGATCATGCAGTCCCTGTCCTTGGCGTCCGTTGGTGGTGTATGTTACAGATAATACCAGCTGTAGTTGTGTCCATCGCCGTCCATTGCCGACTGCAGTGGAGGGGAGGATCCAAATAAAATATGTCCCAGAGGGAATTATAACTATTCCATACTTCAAAACAACCAAATGTATTTAGCAACTTATAGCATGACCCATCCTGCCGCGCATAATGGCTTTAAAATAGGATGAATGAACCAGTTTATCACGGAGCACCTGGAGCAGCTAATTCCAATCCAAAAAGTAGCCTGAAACCACACCTCTTGTCCTCCACAACCTCGTAAGCAACGTGGTTAACTTGCTCTTCTTACATTTTGTCCTCTATCCACAGAATCACAATTCTACCCACGGTTGAACAAATGAGAATTGTCATACAGAAACTTCAGGAATTCCACACAGAATTTTTAAAGAAATATTCCTAGCTTGTCGACGCCGGGACCTTAACGCTGCTCATGCCTGGTTCCCGAAGGTCGCCGTCCTGAATCATCTGTTATGGTTCTTATTTTCCATATGATTTCTCCGTCATTTGGACTGTAACTTTTGTCTTCACTTGTGTACTATGGATTGTGTAAAACTAATTTCAGCCACCCGAGCACAGTTCTTTCTATCGGCTTTTGCGGTCCCAGCTGCTTGAACCTCCTCTAGTCTAGCCGGTGAAGCGCACTGCCGAGCTAGTTCCATGTATGCAGAGACTAAGTAAATATCACTTGGAGAGCGTGTTGTCGTCGGTTCTCAAATTAACGCATACTTATTCTTTTCAACAGGACCAAAATGAAGAAACATATAGGTTTTCTGTAGGTCCTAACACAAACGTGCAGTTGACCACAGTCGTTGCCAAGACGAGCAAGACGTTTATGTATATACACTATGCTCGTGATGGTCTGGGTTCGCGAACGAGAAGAACCTTTGCTTGATACTCAATACCTTTGGACACGGAGCACGCGAAACATCAAGTTTTTATACAGATGCGTTTGCTTGTTGTGCACACTTGCCAGTGGACGAGTTGGAAATGCATTGTGTCGTACCTGACACAGAACCTGATTTGATTGCTCTTCGGTTATTTCAATATATCCCAACCCAACAACAAGCAGTGGCAGGAATTTCAAGTTAGGCTATTGCCGAGCGGTCTCACTTGTCAAGGGTCCAAACAACTGTAATATCTAATCAGCTTGCATTCACTTCATAGCCGCGTTCGAACGCCAGGTTCCACTCCGGAATGTGGTCTACTAAACTTCATCTTAGCCAGCAATAATCTAGAGGATACCTGCCGTGTAATTCACCTTAAATTTAGATAGATGGACTCACGGCACTCGAATCCGATCACACATATTTTGTCACTAACCACGACCAAGCAGAATCGTGGAAATACCGGGATCTGCTGGGAAACGTGGCCGCCAGCAACACATGAAACTTCCTTCAGACAGACACAACGTTTGGCGAATCGCTGGTGAAATTTTCGGACATTTTCGATGCAGGCTCAGAAGCAAAGATGTTAGTCTATGGGGAAATAAGAGGCATAAAAAGTGAATAAATGGTCCAATGAGCGTCCGATAGTTTCGAGGGCTTACCAAATGTATTTTGTGTGAATTAGTTACTTGATCAAAGTGAGCTTGTCACCTAGAAGACCTACACCAGATAGAAATTGGTCTCTGTTATCATCTGTCAAAGTTTTGTCTTTCCTGTTTTGTCGGATAGACCGTCGAATGCTTACTGTTCCAGCTCTTTAGGCTAAGGATTGCAGTAGGTGATCCTTTTTCTATGCAACTTCCCCATGAAACTTATCGCATGGCGTTAGATGGTCCCGCAAGCTTTGTTATCTGTTTCTGTTTAACACAGGGGAACGTTTTACCCACCGAGCTCAGTTCTCAAGATAATCACAAAGTTCTGATTTCCAAATTGTGATCAAACCAATGGATCTGACCGCCATAACCATGGTTTTGTGTATTCCAGTACAATTATGATGTGGTCAAGTGAATTAAACGACCGCCCTGGGCTAACGTTTACGCAGTAGATTTTTACCTGGTATTACTATGTGTACTCGGCATTCCATATACTTTCCNTACTTTCCGTAGAACAATCTCAGTTTGCCTCGGCTCTGCCGGATCGGCCAATCGGGCGAATAATCTAGGGCAATGAATATGCAAGTTGAAAGCCATTCACCTGGTACAGAGCACCAGGTTGGTAATGCGATGGGAACAGTGTTTGAAGTACTGTAGCATTCACACTGTTGTCTCTCCAGTAGTGACAGAGAGTTAGGTTATCTGTATACTGCAATATCTCGGGGATCATACCAACTGAAACCTGAGGCGCCCTTTGTGCAGCACATCCAGTTGAAGAGCATGATAAACGAGAGTTGTATCTGGGACGACGCGGTACGCAAATGAATGTATTGGTTGAATTTCGTGCAATCTGGGATGAAGTGGAACCTAAGGTCGACGGAAACTCGGGGACAGTCTACCTGAGTGACCCCAAGAAGGGCGAAACCGGTCTCTGGCTTGTTATATCTTGGGTGGCCTTCTATTGGTTACACCTGATCTGAGCCTGTCAAACTATGCGACAGGGGGAAGGAAGAGAACCCGGGACGTGACTGTACTGTCACGACATACAGAGCTTCTATGTAAATACATAGGATGATTAAAGGGCCAAATACGGTCGTTCACCTGTTCGTTCCGTACAGCCAGTGGCTGGTCACATGCTGCTGAGCCGTGTTCGGTAAGCTCCGCCAATGCACCTGCCCTCCGTAACGTGTGGGACCGATGGTGACCTTGGGGACGCGTCGTTCTCTTCACATGTACTTTTTCAAGTTTGGACATATCCCTACAGGCTATAAAATAGTTTCGGCAACCATAAGAGCAGTTTCCTTCATGAGGATGGCAAACCGTTTATGACCCATACAATTAACAACCCCATAAGTCAAATCCACCGGTTGAGTGCGCGTCGTCCGAGGCATGTGGCTATCTTTCACCCAAGGGATCATAGGACCGGTCTATTTACACCCATCTCTCGCGTCCAGCTTGTGCAGCGTGGTGTGTGATTGACTTTTTTGGGGACCGTCCACAGCGAAACCATTCAAGCTCTTTTAAGAGGGCTAGATTGTGGTGGCTGATGACGCTTCCCATACTTTACCTGTGGGATTCGTAAAACTCTCGTCCCGGTAGCTATAACAAAACTAGAGTAACGACTACAACACTTTGAAAACGTAACCTTGTTACATCGCGATTGCGAAGTGTCATCCATTTATGTCTCTGCAAGCAGCCTAAAGGTTATGAACTTGGAATGTCACGGTATAGTGGACAGACCAGAAAAGACAGTTTCCGATCAAATGCTCCAGCAATCAGTCAATCCACCAAAGGCAGACATGTCCGGGAATGTCACAGAAGCATGGCTGACGATGATGAGTGTACATCCAACGCTGATCAGACAAACTAGATCAATGTCAAAAGTGAGCTTCAAATACCGCGAGGCCCATTGTAACTTTTGCACTCACTTGTCCACAGAAAAACTGCTTTATTCCTTGTTGGTGAGCCTTTTTCCGACACTAAAGCACTGGAGCGGAGCCATTATCTAGTTACAACAACGCATCCTTCTGCCCGGTGACTCAGAATGACACCAACTTTTGCACATCCTGCCCCAGCTTTCTTTGGATCGCCAGAGGTGCTCAGCTGGAAGCGACTGGAGAATGATGGGGCAGTTAGTTCAACCACTGCATTTGAATCTTGAATTCTTGTTTGTGATACACTACACATCAAATCAAGCGAGTCAAGTGTGAGAGCAAGAGCAGCTTGCTGTACCGCTTGCTCCAAAGTTCGAACACTGAAAGCGGGCAGGTAGACTGAGTGTCGAGGCTTGACTTTTGATATCGAGCTACCTGGGAAGTCAGGGTGGTTAGGCACGCAGATGTTGCTGCGGCAACCGAGCCAGGACGAACGGAGCCATCATTACTAACTGGCGAGTCAACAAGGAGAAAGCTGTTGATGGATTGGGGAATGGCGGAGAAAAGGTATGAAAGCGAAATATGGGAGTTTTCAGCTGTAGTCTGTCGCCGCCTCCCTTCCCTGCTGTATGCAGCAAGTAAGGTGACCTGATGGATGGCATCACGCGACGGTCAATCTGGGATGAGATTACCTATAATTGTGCAATCAATGGTTGTACGCGGGCTGTGTTATTTCAGGGCATCCAGACCTAGGCAAGAGGATGAGCCAAAACATTTGGCTCAAAGTAGCGGTGTTTGGCTGGAAATACAGGCGTATTTTACTTTGCAGAACAAGTCGCCACACATTCCAACTCCCAACCTGGAGGATCAAGAGACTGTATCTGTCAGACCTCTAACAGTCGAACAGCCTGATATGGGAGACTGCGAGTGTTACACAGACACCCCCAAGTATAGCTCAACGGGTCGTGGAGGTACGTGAACCGTCACGTCTCGGTCTCTTCGTGCCGGCTGGGCACCGAAAGGTCTGTTGAAAGTTTACTACGAAACCGACTTGCCTGGTCTTTCGAAAAATCATGAAACTGGTTCTTCTAGGTCGAAAAACGTCGCAAAACTGCAGATATTGCGAAATAATGATGACGACTCCATTAGGAGATTTTAGCTTCCACAGACTGGTTCATAATCCGTGCACGTTCACCTCAAATTAGGACATAGTTCGGAATAGGTGGAATGTCACTTGCAAGTGATTTAACGTCAAGTCAACGTACACACAGTCGCCCATGAGGTTGAGTGATAAGTGCATTCCATGTCAGAGTTAGGAGAGCAAGCAGTCTCTGATTAGAAATTCAATCGATTCATCAGAAGTCTCACGCACTATCAGAATTTTGTTTTGCGAATATATTTGAGGTGCAATGTGACTCCTCAGCTTGGATTATTACTTCGTCTAATTTGTTATTTCCTAGAAATACTAATAATAGCTGCTCACCTTTCGGTGCCTAGTTGCCATGCCACCCGAGGGAAGCATGCGGGCCACGTTGACCAAACGTAGACGTGACAAGACAAGAAGGCAGAGGTCGGTTTCGAACCACAGAACTTCCAGTCAGCAAATTTGCTCTCCAACCAATGAGCCATTTCACCCCCAATCTTAGATATGGCATTACACAAATAAAGACATAGCCCCCCTGATCGCCTCTCAGAGGATTCACAGCAAGCACCTAAGAGAAGCCACCAAAAATCAGATGTAGTTGGCTTATCATGGAAATGTGATCCATCATCTCGAGATTGGCATCTGGATGGAGTCGTTGTAGGCTCCCCGAGAGAATCGCTCCTGTGCGACGTACTCGTTAGACAGTACCCCTAATAATTGGCTTTATAATCAGCTGGATTTAACTAGCCTTAACCGAATGAGATGATGACTAGTTATAGGTCACAGGTCGACCGACTCACGTAGGGCTTGACTCTCAGGTAAGTTGAGATGACCTGTCATCACCACGTTGAGTATGTTATGTTTGATGCAACAGCCGAGAAGCAAGTTGTTTTGAATTTCCGCTGGTGTGAACATTCATTTTTGACGTTGTTTTTTTTGAGTTATTGTTATATGTGACTGCTGTCTCCGCTCCAGTGCCTGGTGCCGAAAAAAGACTCGCCGACAAAGAATATAGCAGCTTTGTTGCGAACAAGTGATTGCGTGCTGGCGCCACATATTCAGGAGGTATTGTTTGATCTTGATCCAATGCTGTCTCGCACTTTATGACCTCGATCCAAGGCTTTCTGATCGGCGTTTAGTGGAGTTTGAGGGTCTCAGTAGGTCTCAGGTATTCTGGGATAGCCTTCAGGAATCTGACCTTCCTGACACTTATTAGTCAAAATACTGTTAAACGTTCGCATGTGTTTTGGACCTTAACCAAATTAATTCACAAAAAGACACCCCAGATTAGTATGTCCACTATTCATGGCCACATAAATGAGAGTAGATGACACAGCAGCAGGATGCTTTTTAATTTCCAACATTATTTAATCACTTCTGACGTACTATATCACAAAAATTTGATAACGATATCTGAATTACTGAGTAAAATAATAAAAATTGTTGAT